AACTTGCGCGCTCGTGCGAATTCTGAAAAATCAACTGTTCTTCAACAGTGTCAGAAAATGCTACCACACGGGCTTCGCGCGCGCGCGTGCCGAAATCGTTCGGACGCCCTTGCGCGCGCTGGGGGAGGGGGGGAAGGGCGAGGCACGTTCCGCGTCAAAAAATACCATGCGGGCCACTCGCGCGTCTGCCGCCTGCGCATTTGGAACTCCTTCCAAAACCTTCATCACCGACACGACGACGCCGCCATTGTCGACGGCGTGATCAGCATCGGCGCCGTCACTCTGACTGACTGCCCCGTCGTCGCTGTCAGCATCGCCACCAGCATCGCAACTATCATATTCGCGTCTACAGTTGTCGACGTTCCCATGACACCGCGCCCGCCCAAGTCGCCGACTCGCACGGAAGTGCCCGCTGGAATGTGCCGAGCGGTCAGCGCCACCGCTTTCGCGTCGGTCGCGCCAAACCAGCCGGCCGCTGCGCGCGCGATCATGCGCGGGCGAGCGCAGCCGCAGAGATGCACCAGCCAACACCAGGAACTCCTCTCAATCGTCGCCGCATGGGTTTTGCAAACCAAGTTGCGGGCGGGCGGGTGGGATGCTTGCGCGAGCAGCGGAGTGGGCAACCCACTGCCAACAGACACGCATTCTCTCTTTAGAAATGAAATAGGTTCTACCACAGTCCCCCCCAAGGTTCAAGACCCCCCCTGACGCACTGCAATTAACATCAGATTTCTGCCCCATCCTCCATCCTAACTGTGAATTCATACGGTCCCAGCCAAACCGGCACCGCCACCCCCGCCATCCTCTGTAAAAAACTACGCGCGCACAAAAAAGTGCGCACGCGCGCGTCGTCGCGCGCGCATGCCAATATCATTCAAAAACCGCCGGTTTCGGATGGATTTCAAAATCGAGTGTTCAAATGTGCGTATATATACACAAGGTTTCGCAACACGGCCCCCCCCCTAAACCAAAAAAATGCGCGCGCTCGTGCGAATTCTGTTTCTTTTCTTATGTATATATATATATATATATATATGTAAACGTGTATATATATATATGTTTTGTAATAATAATAATAATAATAATGATGATATTTTATATATTTGTTTTTCCAACAGTGTCAGAAAATGCGACCAAACGGGCCTTGCGCGCGCGCATGTCGAAATCATTCGGACGCCCTTGCGCGCGCTGGGGGGGGGGGGGCACGTTCCGTGACAAAAAAACACAGTGCGGCCCGCTCTCGCGCGTCTGCCGCGCGCGCATTTGGAACTCCTTCCAAAACCTTCATCACCGACACGACGACGCCGTCATTATCGACGGCGTGATCAGCATCGGCGCCGTCACTGACTGACTGCCCCGTCGTCGCTGTCAGCATCGCCACCAGCATCGCTACTATCATCTTCGCGTCTACAGTTGTCGACGTTGCCATGCTACCGCGCCCGCCCAAGTCGCCGACTCGCACGGAAGTGCCCGCTGGAATGCGCCGAGCGGTCAGCGCCACCGCTTTCGCGTCGGTCGCGCCAAACGAACTGGCCGCCGCGCGCGATCATGCGCGGGCTAGCGCGGCCGCAGAGATGCACCAGCCAACACCAAGCACGCATCGCAATCGCTTCCGCATGGGGGTTGCAAATCAAGTTGCGGGCGGGCGGGCGGGATGTTATGCGCGAGCAGCGGGGTGGACATCTTTGAGTTGAGCGAGTGGTTGATTGCACAACATATATCGCACCACCTATACTCTCCTTTCTACAACAAGAATGGACTCGACCCCCCCACCCCCACCCCACCCCACCCCACCCCCACCCCCACCCCCACCCCGGGATTATCGACATTCCTTTTCGCATTGCAATTTACATGTGATTCTACCCCATCGTTCATGACAAGTATGAATTCATACCATCCCAACCCAACCGGCATCGCCCTCCCCCATGCATGCCGAATTTCTTTTTATATAAACAAAAAAACTTCCGCTTCAAAACAAAACCAAAAAAACGAGTATCCAATAAACATAAGTCAAAGACATGACATCTATATGTATATATATGTGTGTATATATACACACACTTGTAGGCTAATAACATTTGGTTTATACATATACATATATTCACACAGAAAAGTGCGCGCGCGTTCTTTCGAATTCTTAAGGAAAACATGGGCTGTCAACATTGTCATAAAATGCTACCAAGCGGTCTTCGCGCGCGCGCATGTCGACATGGTTCGAACGCCCTTGCGCGCGTGCCGTCGCGAAAAGAGTTTTCCATAAAACACGACGAAATGCACGCGCGCGCGTCGTCGCGCGCGCATGCCGGAATCCGTGGTTCCGTGCCAAACCTTCGGTTTCGCAGCGATTTCAAAACCGGATGTCAAAACAAACATACAAAAACACACGGTTTCGCAACATCAGTTTTCAAAAAAAGCGTGCGCTCGCGCTCTTGCGCATTCTTGAAAAAGACCATCGGTTTTTCAACAATGTTACGGAATTGTGCCAAACGGGCTACTGGCGCCGCATGCCCACATCTTTCGCAAGCCCTTGCGCGCGTGCTGGGGGGGCACGATCCGCGTCAAATTAAACCATGCAGGCCACTCTCGCGCGACGGCCGCGCGCGCATGTCGAGCTCTTACCAAAACCTTCATCACCGACGCGAGGACGCCGTCATCGTCGTCGGCGTGATCAGCATCGGCACCCGCACTAGCCGCGCCTTCGTCGGTGTCAACATCGTCACCAGTATCGCTACTATCACGATCGTGTCTACCGTTGTAACGCTGCCATGATACTTACCGCGTCCACCCAAGCCGCCGACTCGCAGTGAAGTGCCCGGTGGGATGTGCCCAACGGTCAGAGCCACCGCGGCCGCGTCGGTGGCGCCAAACTAGCTGGCCGCTGCGCGCGCGTGCTTGGGTTGGCGCGGCCGCAGAGATGCACCAGCCAACGCCAAGCACGCATCGCAATCGCCACCGCATGGGTTTTACAAACCAAAATGCGGGTGGGTGGGTGGGTGGGATGTTTGGAAAAGCATAAGATGTGTCATCTCGTTTGCTAGATCCACAAAGACCGCAAAAACGATATTGCATAAAGTTCGGTGCGCAACCTAGACAGCACCACCTATATAATAACACACAGACTGCATCACCTTGATTGTCCCACACAGATTGCACAACCTCTATTGCACAACACTGATTCTCCTTTCTAAAACGAGAATAGACTCTACCCCCCCCCCCCCCCGGACTTATCCGTTCCCCTTTCGGGTACGTAAACCATATATGATTCTGACCACTCGTCCATCCGAAATAAGAAATCGTATCATCTCAGCCAGGCCGGGCTCCCCCCCCTGAGGTTCCCTTGTAAAAAACACTATGCGGTGACATTTGTTGTTCTAACATAACACTTTTTCGCGAATCCCTCGCAAAAAAAAGGACGAAGTGCACACGCGTGCGTCGTCGCGCGCGCATGCCGAAATCCTTCCAAAACCTTCGGTGCCGGAAGGATTTCGCAATCGAGTTTCGAGAAGAAAAAACAAAAAAACAAACAAAAAAAAAAAAAAAAAAAAAACGCAGGGTTTCGCAACACTGATTTGCTAAAAAAGCTTCCGCGCGAGCTCTTGCGAAATCGTAGGTTTTTCCAGATTTTCACAACATGCTACCAAACGGGCTTCGCGCGCGCGCATGTCGAAATCTATCGAACGCCCTTGCGCGTGTGCCGTCGCGAGAACCCTTTGCAAAAACTAGGACGAAGTGCAGACGCGCGCGTCGTCGCGGGCGTATCCCGAAAACCTTCAAAACCCATCGGTTTCGGAAGGATTTCAAAATCGTGCATCCAAAAAACCTACGAAAACCTGTGGCTTCGCAACACGGATTTTCAACTAAAGCGTGCGCGCGCGCGCTCTTGCGTCGTCGTCGTCGTCGCCGTCCTCCCTCCTCCCGCGTCGTCGTCGTCGTCGCCTACGTCGTCCTCTGTCTTTTCTCGTGTTCGTCGTCGTCGTCGTCTTTGGCGTCGTGGTCGTTTCCGTCGTCGTTGTCGCCGTGGTCGTCCGTCCTCCTCCTCCCACGTCGTCGTCATCGTCCGTCGTCGGCGTCTCGTCGTCGGTTCTATTTCGTCAGCGTCGTCGTCGTCGTTGTCGTCGTCGTCTTCCCTCCTCCCTCGTCGTTGTCGTCGTCGGCGTCGCCGTCCTTCCTCCTTCGTCGTCGTTCGCGTCGTCGCCGTCCTCCCTCCTCCATCGTCGTTGTCGTCGTTGTCGTCGTTGTCGCCGTCGTCGTCCTTCCTCCTCCCTCGTCGTCGCCTTCGTTGGCATCGTCGTCGTCGTCTTCGTCGTCGTCGGCGTCGGCGTCGTTGTCGTCGTCGAAGTCGTCGGAGACGTCGTCGGTGTCGTCGTCGTCGTTGTCGTCGGTGTCGTCGTAGTCGGTCTTAAGAGGTTTTGCAAACCAAGTTGCGGGTGGGAGGGTGGGATGTTTGCGCGAGCAGTGGAGAGGACAGCTTCAAGTTGAGCAAGTGATTGATTGCAAAGCATAGGTTGCACCACATATCTAGCACCACATAAACTGCACCACATAGACTGCTATACCTAGATTGCACAGCATATACTGCTAGAAGCACACGGTGTAAGGGTCCACGCTGGCTAACAGTGGTTATTCCAAGAGGCTTCCCAGGAGCTCCCAGGGGTCCCCTGAGGCGGCCAGTGTTGGAGGCTGGTCGGACGGATCCCAGCTTCGATTTGACTAGTGCACCCACTCTTTGCTTCACTGGTGTTCCTCCACTTCCCTTCTCGCGGAAACTCGCCTAGGAATCGTTTCTGAGGGGCTGGTGGCGATACGCGAAGGGACAAGATACTTGCACTCATGCGAGTCTATTTCCCTATGCGTGCACAACGCCGATCTATCATGAAGGCCTTCGAGCCCGGACGACAACCAGTGACAGAAGAGATATGTGCTCGTCCATCTGCTGCATAGCAACAAAAACATGCAAAGTGCATCTTATAGCCCCTCAACATCCCCCGCACCCTCGCAGCCTGCAGCTATGTCACGGGTGAGCCGATAGAGTATCCCTCTTCGCGAGATGCACGAATGCAAAGAATCTCCCACCCATGCCGTGGGCCAGGCACAACTGACAACTTGAGACCATCACTTAGCAAAACATCGTGTGGTCGTCATGAGCGTACTTACATGCGAAATCACCGCATGCTGCGCAACGACGCCGGAACTGCCATGGCGAAGAACCCGACCATATGCGGGTGCGAGCACCGTAAGGCAGGTATACGACGAAGAAAAGAAAACTCCCTATGCGGCCACGGAGGGTGTGAGGGGGTATGCCGGTTCGGGTGTGGGTGCGTCATGCGAACGCAGCCACTGGGGCCTTCGGTGGACCCCCCTGCGGGGCCACGAAACGCGTGAGGGGTGCGCCGAGACGGGGGGAGGGAACTGCATGGGGAACTGCATGCGGAGCCTGCCCCTGGGGCCCCGAGGTGGAGCTCCTCACGGGGCCGCGAAGACGTGTGAAAAGTGCGCCGACACTGCGGGTGGAACTGCACGCGGGCCCTGCCACTGGGGCCGTGGATCGTGTGAAGGTGCGCCAAAGTAGGGAGTGGAGCTGCATGCAGACCCTGCCGCTGGGGCCGTCGGTGGAGCTCCTTATAGACCTTCGAAACGTGTGAAGGGTGCGCCGAAGTTGATATGCAGAGAGCAGAGGCGGGGATGGGAGGAGGGAGAAAGGCGGAGGAGGATGGATGAGCAGGAAGGCGGAGACGCTGGGCGCCGTCTCTTCAGAACGAGGACCAAAACGGTGCAGTAGTGTATGCTGGGTCCGTGCTTTGATCACAATGCCTACCCATAGCACTATCTTGCACATGCACCACTACGACCAGCTCTCAGACGCCAACTGGCCAGTTCTGGAGAGCCAGGCCTGCCTAGTTGGCATCAGCATGCCCGTAGCTCCGAACAGCTTACCAAACAGCTTCCATGACTTACTCCCGCATGTGAGCTTATCGGTCTGATGCCTGCACCTTGACCTCTCTCACGAGCGACGAACATATCCATATCCATGCCCTCCGCGGTCTGGATGCCGAGGCACGATTCCGCGGTCCCATGGATACGCTCCGCGCGGGGCATCCGCACAAAGCCGCCCTGTATCCGTGGGGTCGCGCCCGAGGAATCGGGACCGCAAGGCCGTGGACATTGATATGTCTCCCCCGCATGGCTCTTCCCTGTGAGGGCTTGGGCGCTAGATCACCTGACCGTTCGCCTCGACGTCTGGCAGAGGAGCACGCTCGACCAGCACACAGGAAGTCTACCGATGCTCCGCAGTCGAAGCACGGCCACAAGAACGCGGGTCAAGAACATGAGCCCCGTCGCTGAAGGCCCTAGGCCCCATGCAGATCCCAAAACTCGAGAGCATTCCAAAGCGGTGAGCCCAAAGCCCAAAACACGACGAACATCAGGGTACCCCTCCAAAGCCAGGGTATGTCATCAAACCTCGTGCCAACTGTGCTTTACAATGCCACTTGGAGCATCCGCCAACGTGCCGCTGGACACGGAGTGGGCGGGTCCCCAGGTCCTTTGCCCAATCCCTGGGGGCCTCAGGCCTCAGTCCTGGGGAGTCTCGAAGGGGCCCGGGCCCCAAATTCCGAACTCCCCTCCTCCTCCGCCTCCTCCTCCTCCTCCTCCTCCTCCTCCTCCTCCTCCTCCTCCTCCTCCTCCCCCTCCTCCTCCTCCTCCTCCTCCTCCTCCCCCTCCTCCTCCTCCCCCTCCTCCTCCTCCTCCTCCTCCTCCGGGAATCTTGAAGGGGCCCGGGCCCCAACTTCCGAACTCTCTCGGGGCTGCGCGCGTGCCCCCAGGGGCTTTTTGGGAGAGGGGGCGGCGCGCGATTTCTCTTGGTCGGCCGGAGAGGGCCCAGCGACGGACCACGCGGGCCCCACGCGGGGAGGCGCGACGGGGCCCAAGAGGGCCCCAAGAGGGACGGGGAGGCGCGACGGGGCCAAAGAGGGCCCCCAGGGGGCCCCAGGAGGCGCGACGGGGGCCACGAGGGACCAACGACGGACCACGAGGGCCCCAAGAGTCGCGCGGGAAGGCGCGACCGGGCCCAAGAGGCCCCCACGGAGGCCGCAAAAGACGCCCAGGATGAGCTCGAGAAGGCCCATGAGCCCCAAGAGGGCAAAACTGCTGATGTTCATGCGTTACTGTCCAGGTACTTGGCCTTCTCGCCTCTTCGGCCTTCCGACGCTCCAGGACGGCCCAAGAGGCCAACAAGAGGGCCCCAAGACGGCCCAAGAGGGCCTCAAGACAGCCCCAGAGGGCCCAAAGAAGGCCCTAAGAGGGGCCCAAGAGAGGGAACACGAACCGAAAAATCTAGCTTTTCGCCCCAAGACCCCCAGGAGGCCCCACGAGGCCCCCAAGAGGGCCCCAAGAGGCGCCCAGAGGCGTCCAAGAGGCCCAAAGACGCTCCAAGAGGTCCCAGAACGACCTCGAAACTACAAACAAGAGGCTCCCGAGAGGCCTTCAACGAGATCCCAACGAACATCCAATAGGCTTCATACCCACAACCCAGGCACGGTGGCGGGATGGGCCGAAGGCCATTAGATCCGCCGCCCCCTGCTTGCAGGGGTGCACGGCGTGCTGGATGATTCAGGTTTTGGTTTTGGTTCTTTTTCTAAAAGAACTCCCCAGTGGGCTTCGGCCCGTCCCGCCGGCCACCCGCAAATTTCCCAAAATCCATCTGTCAATGCCCAAAAACGGCCGTTTCGCTCGGGACATCCTCAAAAAATCGCGAAGATGGCCCAAGATGGCCTCCAAGTCCGCCCGAGATGGTCCAAGACGGCCTCCAAAACGGCCCAAGAGAGTCCAAGACGGCCCAAGACGGCCCAAGAGGCCCCCCAGAGGCCTCCCAGACGGCCCAAGAGGCCTCCAAGAGGTCCTCCAGGAGAGTCCGAAGAGGCCAAAATCATTGATTTTCCCTTGGTTTTTGAAGGATTTTGGCATTTGCGCCTTTTCGGCTCTCCGACGGCTCAAGACGGCCCAAGAAGCCCCCAAGATCGCCCAAGAGGCCCCCAAGAGAGCCCCATGATGGCCCAAGTGGCCTCCAAGATGGCCCCTAGAGGGCCCCAAGAGGGCCCAAGAGGCCTCCAACACGCCCAAGATGGCCTCCCAGACGCCCAAGATGGCCTCCAAGACGGCCCTGGAGCATTCCAAGCGGGCCCCAAGTCGGCCCATAGAGGCCCCCCAAACGGCTTCCGACGGCTTCAGACGTGCCAGGAACCCACCAAGATGGCCGAAGTTGGCTCGAAGCTGGCCCGAGACGGCCCAAAAAGCCCCAAAGATCGCCCAAAGCTTGCCCAAGAGGCCTCCAAGACGGCCAAGATGACCTTCAAGATGCCCACGTGTTCCCCGAAGGCTTTCCAAACCGATTCGGGGAACACGTGGTCCGATAGCTTGGCAGGTCTGGCCTCAACGTTCGGCCACATAGGCGCTTCCAAAAAGGCAGGGGGCGGCGGTGATTCGCCGTAGGCGTCTTCGATCCACCGCCCCCCGTTGATTCATCACAGGGGTGCCTGGCGTGCTGAACTTCTTACGGTTTTGGTTTTGGTTCTTTTCCAAAAGAACTCTCCCAGTGGGCTCCAGCGCGTCCCGCCCAGGTCCCGGGAAGACGCCGAAAGATCTTCCAGAGGTGGTTGCAAAGGGTTTTTCCGTTCCAGACGGCTTCAAGATGACCCAAGATGGCCTCCAGGATGCCTCCAAGACGGCCAAGATGCCCTCCGAGACGGCTAAGATGGCCCCAAGATGCCTCCAAGACAGTCCAAGAGGCACCCAAGACGGCCTAAGATAGCTCAAGATGGCCCAAGACGGCCCTCAAGAGGCCTCCAAGACGGCCCAAGAGGCCTCCAAGAGGTCCTCCAGGAAGGCCCGAAGAGGCCAAAGTCGTTTAGTTCCGTTGGGTTTTTGAAAGATTTTGGCATTTGCGCCTTTTCGGCTTTCCGACGTCCCAAGACGGCCCAAGAGGCCCCCAAAATCGCCCAAGAGGCCTCCAAGAGACCCCGGGAGAACTGCAGCCGTGCACCGAAGCACCCTGGATGCTTCTCTATCCTTCGCTCTCGCCGGCTTGAACTTGCAGAGTCCTGGTCTGCGGTGTCTGGGCGACGACAAGCTGAGGTGGAAGAAGATGCACGAGGCAGTGGAAAAGGAATGGGACACATGGTGTGGGCACGATGCGGCAACGCACACATATCAGGAGCTGCCGTCGAGAAGATGGACCCGGACAAGATCCTAAGCTCCATAAGGTGGTCTGGGCGGTTAGGGACCCCGCGACCTTCGAGCCGGAAGCGAGGACACCGGCCCTTGCTTACCCTGACGGCAGCCGGCCCTGAGGGCAAAGGACCCCGAAGCCCAGGGCCTTCCCACTGGACCAGCTCCTCATCCCGAGTCGTCTCCGGACAGCACCGGGGCCCGTGGAGGCCCCGAAGCCCGACAGCGGCAAGACAACTCGGGACCCCGTTTCCCTCAGGGACCCGTCTGCGCGGGCGACGAGCGAGGGCAGGGGAGTGAGAGGGAGAAGGCCTTCTCTGAAGGCGGCGGGACTTCTCGGAAGCCCTCGCGCCTTCGGAGAAGTCCTCTGCTGCGTCTCCAGGGAAGGCTCGGGAACCTCCTCGGAAGGCCGGGGGAACTTCCGGGCCCTCTGCGAAGGCCCGCCCCCTCTCGCCTCCCCCCCTCGCGCGCCGCCGAGCTCGAGTCTTGGCGAGTGGCGAGCACTCCCGCCAGGGTCGCCTGCCGGCCCTCCCCATGCCCCCACCCCGTCCTCGCGCGCGAGTCTGGGCGACGCTGGCGGCGTTCTCCGCCTGAGGCCCCCCCGCCGCCGCAGGACCACCGCGTCGTCGCGCTCCGCCGAGCCGCGGGCGACGGCGGGCCCGCCCGCAAGCTCGGGCCGTGACGACGCCGACGTTGGATCCTGCACCGCGTGAGCCGTTCAACCTTGACAGATCGCCAGGCCTCGGAGGCCCTCGAAGAGGGCCTCTGCAGGCCGTGGAAGGCACCTGGAAGCTGGCGGAGGGCCTCCGGAGGCATCAGGAAGGCTCCGGAGGCCTCGGGAGACCTCCGGAGGCCTCTGGAGGCCTCGGGAGACGGCGCGGTCACGGCGGGCTCACGTCGCGGCGACGTCGGCGCTGGTTTCCGACGTGGGGGTGGCATGTCAGAGCTCACAGGGCAACTTGCGGTACCGACGCCGCTGCCCCTCCCTCGCGCTTGCCTTCCTGGGCCTCCTCGAAGGACGGAGGAGTTCGCCTCGGAGTCCTAGTCAGAACTCACCCTGGCAGAGGTCCGGAGAGCAACAGTGTCGGCTTCTCGGCTGCACCGATACGCAACTCGCAACATATAGCGTAATGATGCGGAGCTCGACACGTAGACTGAGAACGTAGGTCTGACGCGATGCGTTCGCCAAAGCGTGGTCCAATACGCTGAGCCAACAGCGAACGCATCGACGCGGACGTTTTGAGCACGGCACGTGCTGCGTACCAAAACGGGCGCATCGAGGCAGCCGAGGTCGGTACATGTCTGCTCCCCCAGGGCGGCGGGTTTAACCAGCCTCGAACTTATCCCTATCCCTGAGATTGACACGCCAAAAGGCGATGACAATCTGAGGGATGCACCCTCAGAAACTGAAGGAATCCCTAAGATCGCCATCGTGACGAGGCGATGCCCAACATAGGGATAGGGATAGGTTCCAGGCTGGTAAGGGTTCGCGTCGCGACGACGTCGGCGGCGATGTCTGACACTTGCGCGAGTCGTTCGACCTTGAGCGATCACGGCCTTCCAGGGGCGGCCAAGCGGGGGCGTCCAAGACGAAAGGGGGTGCAGGTCATGGCCGCCAGCGGCATGTGCGCGGCCAAGGGGGGGGGGCCAGGCACGTACTGAAACAAAAGGAGGCGCCATGAGATCTGAGGAAATATCATGGCCCACGCCATGATATCCACCCCCCCTAATCATCACCCCCCTCTTGGCCGCCCGCGAGCCTTCTGACAGCGCAGACCGTTCGCTGTCGGCCTGCTCGGGGCAACCGGCGGCGTTTACCCTTGAACGCCCCCCGCGTCGGGGCGGCACGAAGCTACGGTGCCCTTATGAGGAGGTGGAGAGCACGTAGAAACCCCCGTGGACCGGCACATGTTCCACAATAATGGTACAGTAGGGGCCCGACCAGAAGATGCGTGCCTCAAGTACTTGATGGGTACCGCAGTCCGTCTAACAGATCATTCAGGCCGACCATACGACAGGGAAAAGTTACTTATAAGGAAATGGAATGGAGGAGGAGGAGGAGGAAAATGAGGAGGGAGGAAGAGAAACAAAATGAGACTCCGCATGTCCAGATATCAAAGCCCAGGGCAGGTGTCCCGAAACTGATCACCACAGGAATGCACCGTAATATCGAAAACCCTGCGGACGTGCCTAGGACGTGGCTGGCACGCGCGGGCTGGCCCCAAAGAGCTGCGCTGCTCCGTGATTTCACAAGTTGGAAGCTCCGGTGGCTGACGGGGACTGCGGCTACAGTGGAGGCCAGTCCGCAAGAGACCTTCCACAAGAAGCCCAGCCCTGAGACCCCACGACGTCCACGGATTTTTGGTGTGGGAGCGTCGCGCTTCCCGTAGCGAAGCCATCGAAACCCAGGAAGCCCGGGGCACCCTGGATGCAGGCAGGGTGTTTCTTGACATGGGCCTCAACTGTAGACCAGCACATGTTCCACAATGATGGTACGATGCCATGGGCGGCTTCGCGCAAACAAATAAACAAAAAGTGGGGCGGTACCCTTCGCGAATTGTGCGCGCCGTGCGCGCGAAACTGTGCGCGAGGTGGTGGGCTGCCAGGCTTCGTTTCGCGCATTCGCACTTCTTCTTCTTCTTCTTTTTCTTCTGCACAAGCGGTTACCCAGGCCGCAACATGGGCGAAACTCTCGCGACCTGCTTTTTCGCGGGCGGGCGCATAGGCTGTCGCGCGTGCTGTTGCGACTGCTAAGACACTAACAAGAGAGGACACAATGATGGACGGCCCTCTGCTGGACGGATGGGCCCTATTCTCTCGGAGCGGAACGTAACACTTGCAAGAATCGATGCTCGGACGAGATCCGCGGAACAATCTGCGCCCAAACTCATCCCCTCCTTCACACTTCCCCCCCTTCCGCCTCCAATAATTACCACTTTACCCCACCACGCCTCTACAGTTGACACCTCAGGGCGTGCGGCAGATGCTGTGGCATCAAGATTTTACTATGTCAGGCCCTGAGCAGGCTGGACCCTCTCAGGCGGCAAGAACCTTGAAACCTTTGTGAGGCTTGGTGGTCGACGGTCAGAGAAAGTCTTAAATTTCGGAGAGCCTGGTGCTTTTTTTGAAAGAGAAGAGAAGATCGGACATCCCCGCGATAGCTTTCACAAGCGGCGCGTAAGAGATGCTGTGTGCAACAGGCGGGGGAGCTGGAAAAAACAGGCAACCAACATTAAGAGGCAAGAGTTCACATGCCGAGAGACATGTGCACAACCTGTCGGAGAAACTGTCTCGCATCGGGATCAAAACATCACGGTGGCAATCTAAGCGGTCGCCGCCGGGACTGGGCAAAGCGACCAACAAAGTGACACCAAGACTCCGGGAAAGATGAACGAGGAGGAGAGGAGGAGGAGGAGAAGGAGGAGGAGGAGGAGGAGGACCAGTGTAAACCTAAGAGTCATCAACGATGTTGGAGTAAACCCTCCCTCCAAGCTCCCTCTTCATGGGCCCCTACAACGGTTCATTTCCATTGATGGAACTGCCTCGTTGGAAGACACCCGTTTGAAGACCCTGAAGCATGCCAAAACAGTGTTCACGGGATTCAAACGCCACGGATCAACATGACTGGTGCGTCTTGACAATCCTGAATCGTGCCAAAACGCCAGTCCTAGGATTTCAACATGACGAACCAACGTAACCGTTGCACCCGCATAATCCTGAATCCTTCCAAAATACAATTTCTGGTACGCTGATGACGGGAATCCGTGAAACCCTTGAAAATGTTGTAAACGAATGTGCGCGGCGCTCAGGCGAGACCCACATTTTGAAAGGGACCACCCTCAATCCGTGAAACTCTTGTAATTTGTTAAAACGAAGGTGCGCCGCGCTAAGGCGAGAGCCACATTTTGAAAACGACCCGCCCTCAATCCGTGAAACACTTGCAGTTGTTTAAAACGAATGTGCGCCGCGCTAAAGCGAGAGCCACATTTTGAAAACGACCCGCCCTCAAGATGTAAAACTGTTGCCAATTGTTAAGCTTCAGAATAATGAACGGTGAGGAAGTCTCAGGCGAAACGCCCGGCCCGCCCTAAAAACTGGCCTAGGGGTGCGACGGGGAAAAAAAAATCATAGGGGAATGGAATGGAATAGGAGCAGGAGAAGGAGGAGGAAGGGAGGAAGAGAAACGAAATGAGACCGCGTCCGCATGTCCGGATATCAAAGCCCAGGGCAGGTGGCCCGAAACTGATCACCACAGAAATGCACCGTAATATCGAAAGCCTTGCCGACGTGCCTAGGACGTGACTGGCACGCGCGGGCTGGCCCCAAAGAGCTGCGATGCTCCGTGATTTCACAAGTTGAAAGCTCCGGTGGCTGACGGGGACTGCGGCTACAGTGGAGGCCAGTCCACGAGAGACCTCCCACAAGAAGCCCAGCCCCGAGACCCCAGGACGTCCCCTGACTTGTTGGTGTGGGAACGTTGCGCTCTCCATAGCAAAACCATCGGAACCCAGGAAAGCCCAGGGCACCCTAGGGGCAAGCGGGGTGCCTCTTGGCAGGGGCCTCCACTGTCGAGAGCGTCGACGACCCTCGAGCTGGGCCGCAGGCTGGCCGGGGGGAGGAGGGCAGGAGGGGGGAGGGCACGCGGAAGATCCTCGCCGCGAGGGATGGAGGAGGGGAAGAAGGGGGTGGCCAGGAGGAGGAGGAGAAGGAGGAGGAGGAGGAGCAGGGGAGGAGGGATGGAAGAGGAGGACCACTGACCAAGCTGCCAAGTCCACGAGGGGGCAGCCATTCGACAGTGCGTCGACGTTGAGAGAGGACGCGGCGGGTGGAGGATGAGGGCGAGAAGGAGGAGGAGCGAGGCAGAGGATAAAGGCGTATGAGATTTCTCTTGCGTCGCAAGGCACGAACAACAACTCTCAGGCCGAAAAGCTGCGACTGGACACCAGTCCGTGCCGCCTGTGCAACACACCTGGGGCAATTGCAGAAGAAGCGATGAAGAGGAGGAGGAGGAGGAGGAGGAGGAGGAGGAGGAGGAGGAGGAGCGAGCGAGCGAGCAGGGACGAGCACGGAAGACAAGGGAATGAGGATGAGGAGGCAGGGAGGGAGGAGGGAGGCCTGGACCAGCTGGCCCGTGTCCGCCGAGGGCGAGATCTGCCAGCCCCACCGGCCCGCTGGGCGTAGTGTGGCGTAACAAGCCAGTTCTGCCGCCCCCCCCCGATCCCCGTCGGGGAGGGGCTTACAACTGATCAGACAGTAGGAGCTCGACCACAAGAAATCTTCCACAAGAAACCCAACCCTGAGACCCCAGGAAGTCTATCGATTTCGGGTGTGGAAGCGTCGCGCTTTCCATCGCAAAACCCTCGAAACCCAAGAACCCAGGGCACCCTGGAGGCAAGCAGGGTGCTTCTTGGCATGGGTCTCCACTGTATCAGTAAGCGCTTCCTCCCCCACCCGACTGGCAAGAGAGCCCGGAATCGAATCGATAAGTCGAATCGGCGATCGAAAGTAATCGGATCGGCGGAAATCGGCAGCCAGGTCGGGAGAAGTCGGATCGGCGGAGAACGGCAGAGCAATAATGCCTCACTGAGAA